TACATATCCCTCTGCTGAAAACCAAACGATTTGCTGGTGAGCGAGTGAATATGTTAGTCTAAGGAAATAGTTGAAAAATAGCCTCACTGAAGTGATTCAAGGCGGTGATTTCTGGTCTGTCAGAAAGTGTAGACTTTCTGGCTTAGGTTGTCAACATTTTAAAAATTCGATTTTCGATCTCCCAGATGACCGGGTTGAAGACTGACTGATTGTAATGCAGTGCTGATATATTCACTTCTAACTTTTTCCGAAAATTATGAATATCGAAAAGATTTAGATCGATTTTTATCCTCACTGCACATATCCCTCCACTTGTCGATTCATATATTTCCTTTATTTAATCATTCCGTTTCTATACTGCTTCAGATTATGCCGAGATGCTGTATTTTCTGCATGTCAGTTCGTGCAGCAAGTCCATTGAAAACTGCTTCATTCAAATAATCAATTTCCAATTATGAATTATTCTACAACTTGTAGATCACATCAATCATACTTATGGTGATGTCAGAAATGATTAAGCTACTATTCCTTGAAAAAGATTCACTCATATGAGTGAACTAAGTAAAAGTATCCTGTGGTCAGAGCTGAAGATCAACAGCCACCAATGACCACGTACCCTCATTTGCAAGCATTGTTGACGCTGTACAGCAATTGAAGCATAACAGAACACAAAAATCATCTAACTAGAAGCGTGAACAAACTACAGAAACCAACAGTCTACACATTTCTGAAAGTAACAGGTGACGCCGGAACTAATTAACATAGACTGGAATTGAAAGCAAAAATAGATTCAGAATTTATTTGGGCTACTTTATAAATGATAACATTGGCATTCTGGAATACGGTGTATTTGCATGTGCGTGAGAGAAAAGGAGAGAATTAGTTTTTATCTGATTCATTAGTACTGACATCAAAATGCGAGCTAAACACACTATTGAATAACATTATACGTGTATATCGAAAATATGCTTCTTTGGAAATTTCCCATTTCCCAGATTAAACGAGAATATTGACCATAGTTGGAAAATCCGTCCCATTAGTTTAAACTGCTAAGAAAATCGAAAATCAGGTACAATACAACACAAACTTCTCAATACACTACGTGTACTATGTATCTTAGGAATCCAAAAGGAGTTGGTGAGAGGGATTTTCCTATCTAGCACTCAATACAAGTTAGACTGCTCACAAGAGTCTCCATATGCATGAAATCAGTGTTTAGTCATCTCTTTCACACTTTGTAGGATCACCCCTTTCGGTGATCTTATGCCGTACTAGATACCTTTCAAACTGTCGAACAATCAAATCATGTGAAATGTAGCAAACGTTTGGGTACATTTGAATGAAGGAGGATGGAAAGTTGATCAGTTTTGACATAGTAAGCTGACAGGATAATTTACCAATCACTATGTTTTTACATTCTATCGGAAATGATTTTCACCCCAAACAGTATGTGTAACATTATCGTTGATTCATAAACTGCTCGGTCCACTATGTATTCCCGACAGCAGAGTGGTTTCGAACAGACGCCTTGTTGACATCACATCTCCTTGAATTGAGTAGACATAAGTTGTTGGTGGTTGGCTCTTGACCTATCCTCGTTCCTTTTCAGGTGCTACTGTGAACTCAGCCATCGTGACAACTATATTCTCTTCTTCCACTGTTACCAATCAACAGAAGACCGTGATACCCTTAGAACTACGCCTTTTCTTCTTCCAGCATGATATCACCATGAACGGGATCTTGGTTTCAAATCTCAAATCCTGTTGCTTCTATGATAATTATCAAAGTTATCCGTAGAAAATGCTCTCTTAAATGATCATATTTCATTTACCAGTGGTTGTCGCATTGGGCAAGCATTCAATACAATTAATCTGTTAGAGCATTGCTAGTTGTAAGTCTTTCGTTTTACTAGATAATAAGTTGTCGTAAATCTTGTAATCATTTTACTCAATTGTAACATTTATTGTTCTCTACCACTCTTTTCCTCTGCCTAAATAGTGGTTTGGCTTCCTCATGCACAACTCCGAAGTATTCATTTTAAACAGAGTACATTTTTATACAGAACTGCATCTCAACGAGTAGATCGCCTGCTGAGTGAATTTGATCTACTGGAAATACTCAAGATACTAATGCCTATTCCATTTGCCATTTTTGTGAGGCATATTTTATTCAGTCGAAATTATGACCATGGATATGCATTCCATGTTGGTAAGCCATATCGCCTGCATACCCTTGTTTCTCTATTTGGCTCAATTCTGTTTGAGAAAACAAATACTTATCGTTGAATGATTAATAATCTCGTGAAAAATGCATCTGTAAGACCCGAACTTGGATTTCCAAAAAATGTTTCTTTCATGGTGCATTTACCCAATGCCCAACTTATTCAGTTCTACCAGGTCAAGACAGTAATCTTGGGATAGAATATGTTCTGTGTTCGTGTCACATTTTGGCCTCTTCAAATATCCGTAATATTCGATAGTTTACAGTGATGAAGCAAGAAATCAAGAACGCTGTGGCTCGACTTGCGAGAAAAATTCCACAGAATCGTCCGATATTTCGCTAAGCGTATAATCTCAACTCGAAATTTTCACGTCAACTGGTGATTGGTTTCCATCGTTAGGTCTGTCTTATCGACCCTTAACCGATTGTGTTTATATCTACAGAAAATCATTTCTTCACAATCAAATGTTGCTATCCATAATTAATTCAAAGAGCGCCGAATTTCGTTGCCATCTTGGTCAAATTTGAAGCAAGCTGGTAAAGATCTCAAGCAAATATCAGAGGCTAATTATCAGGACTGCAATACGATTGATGGTTGTCAATGAATGAGAATTCATCGGTGTGTACCACGGATATTCAAATACCAACAGGAACGGTAAACATAAAACCTCAGTCATATGAGTCTCAACAGTTAGGAAACCAAGAGTGACACATGGTTACTGAAATAACGTCTCGATACTCTACTTTTACTACCACCAACCCATACCTCGATGACGCATTTCAGAAGCAGTGATTGATAGTCCAATTAAAATAGACGTAATGAAGTATAAAGATCTTATTACTAATCAAATCTTTCGAAGGAGAGCGCAGGAGAAATCGTTCTGTGTTATTGTGAGTTAATCGTGTTTGAACGGTGCAATATAGATATCAGTGATGAGTTTGATATGGTGCACAACTTTATTGGCTTTGCAGATGAGAGTTTCAGTCAGACAACTCAGTTATATTCCAATCTGGATGAGATAGTATGCAATTCCTAATGGACGCCTTTTCGAGGGATGTTGTCTCAGTCTGCCAACCTCATGATAATGGTTGCTCAGACTGCAGTCCCGCCATCTTCGAAAGCCGCTTGAATTCATGCTGCTGGTTCACCGCCGGTATTGACGTGAATGGCATCAGTATTCAGAGAAATGAAGTCAAAGCTGCGCTGATCAACTGAATCATCATCAACAATCGACTGTGCGCTGCTAGGCTAGAAGTTTCAACTGGATTGAGAAGTAAACGCTGAGGACAACGATGTGTCTTCATCTTCTCTGCCTATTCCTTGACTAATTGCAGTCTGTAGGCAGTTAACAGTGAGTTGTAAAACCAGTTGAGCTACCTTGTACACCAGGTGAAATCGAAACATATAGCAGTGTTTGCCACCTGAGAACTGGAATAAACACAGAAGGGCGCCTACAATAAGAAGGAGGTCGTTGACGCATTCAGTAGGGTAATCAATAATATGCCGGTTAAATCTTGCTTCCAGCCAGCACCCTACTTCGTCACAGCTATCGCTGTAATGATGTCTAATGCACTCTGTCTGCCACTCAAGCCTGAACATAAACAGATCATATTGCAATTAACTACCCATGGTGTGAGTGAAGACAAGACTGAGATTTCTTCCGTAAAGTTCGTCTTGCAATTTAGTGGTCATGGAGATCATCTTCTGAAACAAGTTGATATGGGTAAAGTGGTTCCACTTAGCATGCCAACTAATAGAGCCACTGTTGTATACTTCTTTTAAATGTGTCTTCGCAATGTATGCGACAGTCATCAGATTGTAAGTCTGCACCAACAGTGGCGTCTACTGTAGTGGCTGTTGTCATACTTCACAAGCTATGCGAAACCTACGAGAATCTGATTGCTGAGGAGGAGACTGAGATTTACTATGGTCAAGAATACATTGATGGTGTTTCCATCTACCACTAGACGCTTAAACATCTTCACACACATTGCAGGCCAAAAATCGTCTCGTTCTTGCATATTAGGGCTGCACTAGATAAGTTGGACAGAGTCATACTCCATAATTATCTACAAAAGCGCTCCCCTGAGACGTTTTTGATCATCTTGAAGGCCTCTTATTTCAACTTCTCAAGTAGAGTGAGGATACTCAACCACCTATCTACACTGCTCCATTCCTCTTCACTCACACACAACGTAGATGATGATGAAACACTGCAACTTGTCGAAGGGTTTTTGTACGTTTGTACTTATGTGAGTATTTGCCGATGTGGAACTGGCGAGATTAGCAATCGTATATCAAAAGCCAGAGTGGTACATGCCAATCTGCAACAACATTGGTGCCGCTGTGATTCAAGCTTCACGAGGGAAAGTCAGGTAAACAACTCATTGATATCAGTTCTGCAAGAGAATCATGCAACGTGATCTCCTCAACCCGATTACTTCCGACGGCTCTACATTATTCACTACTGTTGTCCCTACCGGATTGATCGCATCCGGTGGCGCATGATAGTGCATTAATGGATCAGTTATAACAGTGTGTGCCTCGAACACGTGTTAAGCATATCACCTTAGTGGCGCTCATAATACTTATTTTTCGACTGCCCTTAGACTGGTTAGAATAAGTGAAGTCAGATGAGAATACGCACAAAATGTTTGACAGAAGTGTTGAGAAGAGAATGTATGAAACAAAAGATTTATTCATATGGTTTATCAAAGAAATACACATTGGTGAAATACGAGATAAAGTGTAATTATTTAACTGTTAAAAACAGTGATGTTCAAAACATATGAATTGAAGTCCTTGGTAACTGATCAATTCTCTTCATTCTTCGCTAGATGGAAAAGAGGAAAATCAACATGTATGATCATGATCTTGGTCAGAAATAAACTTGTTGATAGTCAAGACAATTTGTGACTGGATGCTGAAAGGATACTGATTGTCATCAACAAAACAGAGCAGAATTTCGCCTTCACCACCAAGTAAAATCTGATGAAACCACTCATAAAAATCAAGTTATTACATCACATTTTTGAGTGGTGTTTCACGACGTGGACTGGAAGGAAGGTGATTAGTCAACATTCCTATCACTAAAGATGAAATCACACACAGCTTAACTTCATCTGTTGATAGGTGAAACGAACACCTGGAAATAAACATTCTGCCTAATAATCATAAATAAGGTCGTCATATTTCAGGTATTTAGTCACTCATTTGAGCAACTGAATGTTTCATTTGAAGGATGGTTTCCGTGAAAAGCTGTTCTTCAAATAATTACACTTAATGAATTTTATGATTTGTACAAATTACTGAGATACCCCTCCAATTTTATGTCTACTTTACAACATCAACGATATATACCACTCAAAAATGGCGCACTTTCATGACCATCACCCACTTTCACTTAAATGTTTCACAACGGTCGAAACTACTTCTACTCTACTGGTCATAAATGCCAAAACCAAAAAAAATTCTCAGATTATTTGTTAAATTCATATGACATGATAGGAAATTCGGACAATCAAAAGTACCCTCACCTTATAAAGTTCAAGCCACATATCCAAAAATATCCATCTTCCCTGAAAGTAGAAGGAAACGCTCACTTTCACACTGAGATATATGCAACTGACATGAATGCGGCCAAGTAATATATCGGTCTACGTCAGTCAAGAAGGTCGAAACGATAAACAAACAATCAGTGCAAATTGTGAACAGCAGGATATGATATATTGCAGTGAGTTACAGCCAAACAACGAACAATGAAAATCTTTCCGAAATGGATGTACTTCATATTTGCCTGTCACCGTATGAACTAATTTATGAAGACTTAGATAAAATATCTGTAAGAAACAACCAAACACTATCTACAACCAGTCCCTATGGTAGATTGAAAGCCATTTCGCTTATAGTTGAAGTGGTATGATGGGTAGATACTACTGCATTTCCTCGCATCACAGGCAGGCAACACTAATTTAGGTCATCATATTCCCACTAACCGTGGACTGTCTTGTAGTTAGAAGTGGGACGACGTGCTGTGAAGATTCATATCCGACGTCGAAGCACTTCATTTGGTAGTATAAGAGTGCGAATACATGTTATCATTGAAAAAAATCATTTCTGGAGAGCTTAAAAGCCCAGGATATGACATAGACTTTGTTATCGCTAGTCCAGTACAGAAATTTCTTACACTTCGCTGTGCTGAGCCTCGATGCAGTTTTCGCAGTTCGTCATTCAATCTCGAGCCAACTATAAAATAAAACGAGAGATGAACTAGATCACTGAGAGCAGGCAACACAACATTATTGGACTTCACAGTGACTACAATATCAAAAAGCGACGTGATCTGTTCCTAAATGAAATTATGCTCGTTCACCTCAACTATCATGTCATGTTAACTGAGGCTAGCTCAATCTGATTATCTTCACACAGTGATGAGTGTGTGGTATCAGTTATGCAAGTTTTCAGTTTACATTGTGCCGTTGTTAACACACTTCACCTCACAGCAGATTCTGTGGCTTCCAAGAACACAATATTTATCCATATTCTCTGTGTTCATACTGCTTTCTGGTTGAGTTTTTTACATGGCAAATGTATCCCTCACTAATACGTACATGTTTGTTGTGTTTACTTTTAGAAATTCAGAGAAGACTGATTTCATTGACGAACCCCACCACGTCCGCTTTCGAATCCATGTTGGGACGGAGAATGCTTTCCATGCAGGTCCTTAGTTGATAAACATCATTTGTATGGACATACAGTACAGTGTGAAAATAGCTTCAGAACGGATTTCATGGAAAAAATGGTTCTGTTCTCTCCTGATTACCATGCTAATTTTCTAGATATCCATTTTTGTATCACTCATACTACTCTTATCGTAGATAATGTGAAAATAAAGTAAGACAATACCTTCGTCACTGATCAGTGGTTTATGTCGATTGCAGCCAGTTTCCTGGATACTCGCATATTTTTCTGATTCAGAAAAGAGAAAGAAGAAAGCAGTGAAATATAAATGTGAGGTGGTAGACGCATAATCTAAATTGTTAGGCCTGCGAATAAAACCTCCTGCAAGATTCGTAGGTAGTCATAATTTATCAACAGTTTGATACTTGTGTACCAATCAAGATGCATATCAGATTTGGTTTATATCGTCAAGTAAGCAAGTAATCTGTATTCGTTTTCCGTTATCTCTCTCATTGTATAGTTCAAATATGACCAGTAAGGTGGAATGTGATTACAACTGTGAAAATCACTCTGATGCTGGATACATCTCACTTATGCCGGTCGTTTGCTCAGTTCGTACTGAAGAAATTTCTATCTACATGAACTTCCAATGAGGAATAGTTATGTTCACATTGAATTGTTGTCTTAGCTGAAATTACGGTCGGCTAATAGTACAGTTAAGTACTAGTTATCTCCATCACTACTCCATTGTGTCAAAATGGAGTTCCAGCAAAAAATATTGGTGGTGATCTTTTATAGAGTGCTGTTGAAATATTTGCCGACCAAACCAGTATCAAGGAGAACAAACCAATCCTCAACTGCCCAAATTTTCCCAAATTTCTGAAAGTATTACTAACTGTGATTGGGAGAAGACATACAGAAGTTATTCCCAAAGCAGAACTATTACCAGTGATTAGCAATGTATGCACTGGCAAGCCACAACAAGATGCGCATTATTGTGGTTTTAAGATCGATTCACATATCACAGGAACGACTACCTAATATGAAAAGATGTTGCATGAATTCTAGTCAACAAAGCCTTTCTTCAATCATTCGACGATAACTAGCTGATTGAACTCATGCCATGATGTATCCGAAAGTCTTGTACAAGAATAGTCAGAGGATTTCAGTGCATGAAGTAAGGCAGTATTGCTTACCTCGATAAGAATCTTCCTTCCTTCGAAAGCATGCAACTGTACGACTGTCAATGCGATATTCAGCAGCTAAGTAAAAGAAGGAGTTGAACGCAATTCATGTTGGCTTCAAAACAATATCACATGATAATAATGATGGATAGTGGTTGGCAGTGAAGTCCACGATGTGCGCTTCATCTTGTAAGAGAGTTTTGAGCTGGGTGCCCTGCCACTCTATATGTGACATCGTTCAGACTAAGCCTCGAATCTAGCAACCATTACTTCAAACTTCATGATATAACATCACATCACATGAGTTTTAACATGCGTATCAAAGTAATTACAAATTCTTTCCTAATGACACAGGCAGTTGACATTTTAACAAGATGTAAAATGATGAGATTGTGAAAAATGAGAGAATGGATTTAATGTTGGAATTCACAACAAATATGCAAACTTATCCCCAAATCATTGCCGAATCCATACGTAGATGAGAGTGCTGAAGATATCGCAAAGAAGGAGAAATTTATCAATAATGAAATGATCGACGATGATCGCAATCCGACAGATTGGCATTATGGACACTGAGGTATGGGTGAATGTGAAGTAGAGACGTGATTTGTAGCAGGATTGATACCAGTGGCCTCCGGATTACCGAATGTTGCTTTGAATATTCCCACCACTTAGGTTCTCATTTCACCTGAAATCACCATTCACTACTGAATACTTTGTCGAGGTTCTCATAAATAAATTCAAGCAACCACTCAGTTCCAAACTATGATCTCTTATGCATATGTGAATTAGTCCAACTCCTGCAAGCACTGTGTACATGTTGGCAAACTACCAAACGTTGAGTATGATGGCTCTTCTAGTTGACTCCAGAAGGTGAGGTTCTTGCCTTTTTGAACCTCCCCAGAAAATTACTTATGTTCAACAGTTTGCCATTACAAACAAATGCTTCGTACAATTCTCACGACACACTGACAATTTTTGAATGGATGAATGTCTAATCTCTCAGGCTACTGTGTTATGGAAGCAAACTTCATGACGTGCAGTGCTAAATGTCACTTGAACGACGTAGTGATAATTCATCCAGTAGACTGAATTTCGAAGGGCCGGTCCTTTTACTAAATTTTATGAAGTTGTGTCGTGATTTCACCTTGATCACAGTTCATTTGATAGAATAGGCATGTATGACATCATCGCTTAGTAAAAACAGACAAATGACGAGCTGATACAACATCCGTAATGACAATGATCATCAGTATTTCAAATGCATATCATATTTACTGATCGAAGTCATTGTCACACTGATGCGTAACACTGAATCAGAAGTCTTTTTAACTGGCTGCCATTCAATTAAGTCCATTATGAGAATTTCAAGAAGATTTTGTCTGACACGTCTTTGTTAAACGTTAAATGACTAGAAGATAAGCCCACAGACAAGCCACGATTATAACTTGGGGAAATTGATGCCTCTCTAAGGTAGACCTCGTTAACTTTGTGACAATCACTTCCTCCAAGAATTTACCAATATGAGAGTGGGATGAATGAAAACAGTGTAATTGGTTCCCTAGTGGGTGTGTAGCCTAATTTTCCTCATTCTTTCTTCGTTCATCATGCCCAAATACTACTACACAACTTATGTTTATAAGATGATGGAGGGGGAAATATGAGTATACAAGAATAATTCTACACACTAACCATTAAAAGTCTCGATTCCAAATTGGTACACGTAAAGATCTATCAAACATCTGACATCTGAAATATAATGAGGTTCAGTAAGATTCCTTCATAATACTTACAAGCACAAGAATCTCCTCCTCCGGTGGTGGACAGATTTCGACCGATTTCGTCTGAAAGGGAAGAGAAATAATTTGAACAACTAATGTTGAATGTGAATCTTCACACTATAAAGGCTGAATAATTAGCTGTTAGTAGAGGGCCTTCACGAACTATCTCGCGTTTATTGCAAAAAATCGACGAAGTGAATCACTCGATTCAAATTCGTTTTGCAAGAAGGGGTCGACTGCAGAGAAAACAATGCTCAGACCTGATGGCACATGAACTATATCGTGAAATGGAAAGGTTGTCTGAGGAAAGTAGACTTTAAAACTGTTTCAATATTCAATGACGCTGGGTATACTCAAACTATTCTCTAGATGATTACTGAAGCAAAGCTGTTCTGTGTTTTGCATTAAAGTATACTATGTGTTTCTGTATACCACAAGATTGTCTAGATTCGCATAAGAAGCCTTAAATCCCTGAGACTTTCTATAACCAATCATATTACTTCTAGGTTTGGTTTGCATATCGTATCATCAACTGTTCACAAGTCTTATCAAACCAAAGCGTACGAATGCTTTTATCTGAAGTAAATAATTTATTACAATAGATGGATGCATATTATTTCAAAATATCTGTTTGCACAACTCATAAATAAGTGACAAGTTACTCTTGTCTCTCATGAACCAAACGACTGTGTTACTTATTAAGTTTCGAACATGCTCTTCTGCATCATTCTGAATATGAAATCCATGTTGCAATGTCTCTGTTGAAGAAAAGGAAACAAAAACAGGTAGATTATATATTACTATTGTTGTTAGAATGTATTTGAAAAAACATGAAATCTACAACCAAGTCTTTAAAGCTACAAAACACCGTTATCGAAATTTCGACATTTCATAATGATTTCTATGACTCGTCCGTTTTAGGTTTGCAAGCAGTTCTCAATAGACATATCTCTTTGAGACGATATATATATATATATATATATATATATATATATATATATATATATATATATATATATATATGAATCCTACCAAAGAACTGGACAAATGAATTCCAATAAAATTTGCCAACTTAACGGAAGCCGATTACATCACAACGGATGGCTAGTGCTCAATGAAAACGAATTGCCCAGTTCTACCTACACTATACGGAATAAGGTAGAAATCTTATTGAGGCAAGCAAGCACTGCCAATGCCAGCGTCAGCAAATAGCAGTTAACAGGCCTACGGACAGTGGCCACATATACACCCAGTTACTAATAAATCAATCTACTCGAAACTAATCGATGCAGTCAATTATGGGATATTACTTCAATAACATACATCGAGTGATCAAAATAGTTATAAACGTGAACAGAGGATCGAAGAAGTTATTCCTACCAAAAATGCTGTCCATATACATTCATGCAGTTTTCCGGAACTCGACTTCTTCCTGAAGAAAATGCTGATGCAAGCACTGAGACAAGTGAAACATGTAACCTTGGCATTCACCTGACACTTAACATAGTCATAAGTATTTTCAAGGTGAATTCGTAACAATGTGAGATGAATTGTAATTATCTGAAACTCCTTACCTTTGTGCTCTTCAAAGTTACTTCTAGCTATTTGTATCTCCGAACCGTCAACTGAAAATAGTAAGCATATAAACTCATGAAGAATGAAGAGATTTTAAGAAATAAAGAATGCCTATTCAGAAACATTATGGCGTAAATACGCGCCTTCAAACTAACCTGAAAACAAATAATACATTAAGTTTTCACTTTTCAGCTTCTAGTTTCCAATAATCACAAGGAAATATTTCATCTTAGTCAGAATGGATCGTGAAAATCTGCATTCTCTGGTACGACATTTGTCAACTTTTGATGTCAGCTGGTTGATGGCGATTTGTAGAAAGCACTGCTCCTACTAGACGTCGTGATTCCTGACAGTCATGAGCAGAGCACCTGCGCAACCACAAAGATATAGATATCCTCTCAACGATTTGAACCTGCGTCACTCTGTCCTGAAGTCAGCAACTTCATCATCTAGCTATTCAACCTAGAACTGACCCCTTGTATGACTTGATTATATACACGATCAAACATCAATGAATAAGCAATGTAGTTGTCTAATCCTTGGAGCTCAGCACTGTTCGACTTGCAGGGTGACTGCTAATATAACTGAGACAATCGTATGAATACTGTGTATAATTCATGTAGCAACCATCAATTTCTCATTAGCGCATACTGCTTCTCTTTGAATGAATGAAATTAATTTTGATTGTCGCAGGTAACGATGATCACAGTCATTTAAGCACAATCAATATCCTGAAAATAACCATCGACCAATTCACTATTTCTGAATGGTCAAAAATCGTTTACAGTTTAACCGACCACCTAATTCATAGATAAATCTAGATAGAGAGAATAATAAAGTAACAAAGTATGCCTGTTAAACAGAGACATATCTGAACTATGGTAACGTTGTTTCTCTTAGGACGATAACACTAATACTTACCTCGTGCGGACACTGTTACCAGCACCGTTATCACAGCCAAACAAATGTATAAGAAGCTGATCATCTTGTTCTTTCTTCCATTTTTAATGCTTGACGTTTATACTTTCAACCGACAGGCTTTGATCATTCCACGACAAGCTGGTCAGTTAACTAAAGTCTTCTTCGTTGTCTCAGAACATTTCATTAAAATGCATGACTGGTTGAAAGACTAATGACCAGTTGTGAACAAGTGTAATGCGACTGATGCAGACAGAGCCCTATGCAATATTTCGAGGATAAATTTCCACTTTATGGAGAACATGCATATACTTCAATCAAAAGTCAGACAAGCTTTAAGTTTCAAAGGAAATACAAATCCCTTCTCCGTATATATTCATTTCCGAAAATGTTGTACCAACAACGTGATCCAGAAAGTTTATTGCCTCTTTTTACCAGCAACATTTACTTAACCGCATTTTTAGACTAGCATACCTCTGGTGTTTTAAAAGTTATACAGGTCGTCGTACACGTTCACCGCACTTTGCAGATGAGCATCATGATGTGATTCAAGTACTTCTGGCTGAGTTAAATCCATTTTTGGCCAACTGATGTATCTCATACCTGCGAACTGAATCGACATCTGACCGAAAGGAGCTTTATTTGCACCCAAGATTTTGGAAATGTGAAATGTTGACGTAGACAGGTTCATCTTTTCAATGACAGCGTTTTAAGAAGGTAGAAGAGAGACCGACGCGAGATCAACAAGTATTACATATCCTTCTGCTATCACGCTGATTTCTCTTTGAATCGATGCTTCTCCATTCAGTTCCACCGACCATTACATGTATCTCTATAGGTGACGATGGCTATGGTAACCCTTGCACACTGAAAACTTTTTGAGTGACCAGACAATTTTACCTCAATAAGCATACAACTGAGGACTTGTAAAATACGGCCAACGTTTCCCACGTGAAATAAGTAGATTCATAGTCCCACGAATAGGATTTTTCGAATCTATTCCCATTTACAATTCTTAGCACTTCAACAGTGTGGACACATTCAGTTTGTAAGCCTTGCCTTTCACCGTATTTCGCTGAAATATCTCCGTGATGAACTGACATGGACGTGTGGAATTACTTCATTTCAGTACGACAATGCTGTAACAGCCTAACAATTTGAGGCCAGTCGTGTCCACAAATAATCATCGATAAATCTCATTAGTAGCCAGTGTATGAGAGAATATGTAGGCCGTACCAGGTAACATCATAAACAACATTCCAACGACTTATCAAAACATAAGATAGTTGCTCTCTTCTTTTAGCATATCATGCGATATCACCTAATGAGTTGAGCATTCCAATAGCTACTTCGTATGATCTCAAGTATGACGTGATTGGAAATAATATTACGTGCTTTAAAAATTGACTAATATAGGTGCTTGTGGAGACTGCATACAATTGTGTATGGACCACTTCAACTATACACAATATTTCCTTCTCATCGTTTCTTTTACACATTCTGTACATTATTCCTAATACTTTTAAAAAAGAATGTTGTCTAGATTTGTTGTTGAGATTTATTTAGACAGCCTCTCAACCATGTTTGACGGTGACCAAGTTACCAAGTACATATTACTTTTTTCAATTTTTATTCAATTAGGATGACAATCAGAAAGTGGACTAAGCTGTTAAAACGATGGTCGAATTTGTGCAATATGGTACAGTTAAATCCCATTTCATTTACTTTGTTCGACATAGAATACAGTGAAAGAGTACTGTCTACCGGAAAACGTTTCACATACAACTCATTGTCCATAATCACACAAGGTAATCATGCAATTTTCAAATCTGGTACTTATTGTCCTTAAGTCTTCAATCTTCAAATTTTGCAGTTATATGAACCCTGAAAATCTCATAGTGACAGTAGCTAACTCCATAAAAGTCAGATTTTGAGATGGACACTGTGAGACTTCTTTATCTCACACTCCAAACCAAAGTAAGGAGTTGAAATGAAGAGTTAGTGTACTTCACGAAAACATACTATATGACTATACTAAGCAAAGATCTAACATGTAGTGTAGTGATATAGCATCTGGATTGTGATGAGGCTGTGATAAGCTAATGACAATCAAATCAAGATACGTCACCAATTCATTAAGTTCCTGACTGTTGTTCTGAACTGTGAACAGAAGTGAAGGCTTACTAGTTGAGGTCCATGAGACAACAAAAAGTAACCGTTGAAGATACACTGGAACGAGCATAAATCGCTTGCGATGTTTCAGATGCATTGTCCTTATATCTTAAAAGTCTCATTTATTTTATGGCTCGTGACTTTCTAAAGAACCTTAATCAGATTGACATTACACTATCTTTTCTTGTGTTGACCTCCAACTCGATATACTGATGTGAACTATAGTAAATTTTAGCAATCTTGATTCATGACAGTTCTTAATATGTTTATATCTGTTCATTAACTGGATGTTACAGCTTTTCTCACAGTGCTTAGGCGACTGCATTTCTGAGGTATCAGTATAAAAAGAGTCTAAATCATACAAACAATTAGAAGAATAGATGCCGTCGTGCAACTGTTTTTCGATTTGTGTTTGCATGGAGCAATCTTTGTTGACCATCAAACGATTAACAGCTACAAATTACACCATAAAATAGAAATCCTAATGAAATTATAAAAATAAAATTTCTTAACAATGAGAAAAATTGGAGTTCTAATGGACGATTGCTATGATCAAATGAAGAATAAGACCATCCTTTTATACAATGATGAGAGTTAGACCACTCAGTAGTAAGGAGGATGACATAAATACTTGGTATTTATTACAAAATCAGGCAATGCTATAAAATCTAACGACTCACATCTAAAAGTCGCATTCATATTCAGTGAATTGAAAGTCATGGGTCAATGGTAGGCATGTGTATACCTGAAGAAAAAGATGGAGCTAGTTCTGCGCCGGTGAATCAAAGTTCACCTGATTTCTTCATGATTTACCGTTTCTCAGGACCACGGAAGTATTCCTATAAATTTCAGATTAACATTTCAGGTAAGGGGAATTTGAGACGGAATCAGTCTCCAACACTAAACACATTACGGATAACTTCATAGGGTGAATAAAACTGTAGAATTCACATACCTAAATCCTGTAGGTAATGGAAATTGTGATGTATTCGATGGGTTATCTTCACCTGAGCACAAATTTACAACATCACAACTTTGAGCGAATGTATAAAGGTCATTGCTCCTTCTTACAAAAGGCAATTCTTCGACTTCCTCTTCTAATGACTGAATTAACTGGTTTGTATCCTTAATTTCTAACCTCGCCTGGTTAACTAGTTCACTAGTTACTAGCCGGTCCTAAGCTTGGGCGAAGAGGGAAGGTTGGGCATAGGGCTAGCAACCCTACCCCGTAAAACAAATCTAACCGCTAAAGAAACTTCAAAGCACAAATGAAATATAAAAAATAAAAACAAAATTATTCCTCGCTGGAATCGGAGAGGCGAAATGACGCCAGTTGGTGAAAGCCTGCCTTCGGGAAGCCAATTGGCCGATGTGTCTTCTCTCCCTTGATGAAAGTGAAAGTAAACGTGGGGACATGGAATGTCCGCACCATGTTTACACCTACCAAGGCAGCTCAGATTGCAAAAGAGATGAGAAGGTATCACACTGAAGTGCTTGGAATTTGCGAGGAATCTGCAGGTGGAATGGAAGTGGACTCTCCTAACTGTCAACTCGAGAAGAGTCAATAATCTACTCCAACATCGTCACCCAGACGACAACCACGAGCACACTGAGTTTTAGAGTGGCTATCATGATGTCCCCAACAGCATCAAAGGCTCTCTCTCATGCAGTCAGAACCAATCTCCTCCAGCATCAGAATCATGACAGCAAGGTTCAACTCACAAGGAAGGAAAGTCACAATCATTCAATGCTATGCTACGCACCTAAAAAATAATGCAGATCAAGGGAAGGAGGAGGAATTCTACAGACAACTGCAATCAACACTGGACAAGACCCCATCCCAGTTGGCGACCTCAAAATTCTAATGGTCGACATGAATGCCAAACTGGGATTGGACAATACAGGAAGGGAACTAACCATGGTCGAGAAGCACTCAGTGAGGTGAAATGAACGAGAATGGAGCATTGTTTGCAGAATTCTGTGCATTCAACGACTTGGTGATTGGAGTCATGCAGTGTGTTCAAGCACAAGGATATCCACAAAGCGACATGGATTCAATTTCACCAGACACCAGGACACACTAAAATTCAAATCGACTTTATCTCAATTTCAAGAAAATGGAGACGCAGTCTACTTAACACAACGTTAAGAAGAGAAGCAGATGTAGGTTCAGACCACTATCTAGTACAAAGAACCTTCCAAATCAAGTTAAAAGCCTTCAAGAAAGCTGGTGATAGACCTCAATTCAAGTACAACACTCGGAACAGAAACTGAAGGATGAATCTGTAGGGATGCGTGTTACAAATCTACAAAGGAGATCTTCACGGTCGCCAGCCATCAAGACAAGATGGGAGATATCGAGGAACATCCCTGAAGTAACCTGTGTGGAAGAACACTGGAAGTCTTTGAAAGCTATGTGGAGAGAAACCTGCACAGCCGTATTAGGAAGGAAGAAGAAAGAAGACAAGGAACGGATCTCGACGGATACCTGGAAGCTAATAGAGGAGAGGAGGATGGTGAAGCAGAAGATAAACCAGTGCAAGGAAGCTCAGCGACAAGAGGAACTGAGTACAACGTATAAAACACTGGACAAAGAAGTGAAGAAGAGTAAGCGCAAAGACAAAAGACACTTCTACGAAACACTGGCAAGTTAAGCAGAACAAGCTGCAGGTGAGAGAGACAGAGACCAGACAACACTGTATCAAATAACCAGGTTGCTATCTGGGAAGAGATCAACGCACACGAAGCCAATAAAAGATGATGACGGAAATTTAATTACGAAAGAAGAGAAACAAAGGAAACAATGGGCTGACCACTTGAAGAAGCTCTTGAATCGACCACTGCACTTCGTCCAGAAATACCACCTACAGCCCAGACGCTGAACTACAAGTGAACGCCATAAAGCTACTGAAATGCGGGAAAGCAGCAGGACCATATGGGATCCGGCCAGAAGCAATGAGAACAGACACAGAGACAACAACGGACATGCTCACACCACACCACCATTGCAGAAGGTGTGGAAGGAAGAGAAGGTACCTGCCTGTTAATTGGAAGAAGGGTTACCTTGTCAAACTCCTGAAGAAGGGAGACCTCAGTGTTTGTAATAACTGGCGAGGAATCATGCTCCTGTCCATCCAAAGCAAGCAAAATATTAAGCCGCATCATCCTGGAGAGGCTTAAGGATGCACTGGATTCAAAACTACGACCGGAACAGGCAGGCTTCAGGAAGTACAAATCATGTGCCGACCAAATTGCAATGCTTCGCATCATCATAGAACAGAGCATAGAATGGCAATCAGCTCCCTACCTCAACTTCATCAACTTTGAGAAGGCCTTTGACAGTGTCGACCGAGAAGTAATTTGGAAACTGCTTCATTACTACGGAGTACCGCAAACCCTTATCAACCTCATTCAACAACTATATGAAGATGCCACATACCAGCCAAGTAATTCACAATGGGAAGCTCAGTGATGCTTTTGAAGTGAAGACAGGAGTGAAACAAGGTTGCCTACTATCCCCCATGATATTCCTGATTGTGGTCAACTGGACTGGATCATGCAGCAAACAGTGGGCAGCGAGAAGAGGGAGATACACTGGACTGCGGAAAAGAACCTAGAAGACTTGGATTTCGCCGATGACTTGTGCCTGATGTCACATAAACTTGAAGATCTGCAGGCAAAAACTAACAAGTTGATAGAAGAGACAGGGCAGCGAAGACGGGACTTCAAGTGAATATCGAGAAGACAGAAGTGATGAAGATACCTCACCACCACCAACAACAACAAACTCCAATCACCATCAACGGAAGAAACTTAAAGGAAGTAACCTCCTTCACCTGTCTAGGAAGCACTGTTTCAACTACAGGCGGGACGGACGAGGACGCCAAAGTCAAAATCGGAAAAGCAAGACAGGTGTTCATTCGCCTGAAACCAGTGTGGAGATCTGCACTCAACATGCGGAACAAGATACGGATTTTCAACACCAACGTCAAGTCAGTGCTCTTGTATGGCTCAGAGACTTGGCGCGTTACGAAAGGTATTTCCAATAAACTACAGACATTCATCAACAACTGCTTACGCTGACTCGATACTGAAGATCAGATGGATTGCCAGAAAGAATAAGCAACAAGGAGCTCTGAGAACGAACCAACCAAGAACCTATCACCCAACAAATATGCAGGAGGAAGTGGAGATGGATTGGGCTTGTGCTGGGAAAGCCGACTGAGGACATCACGCGTCAGGCCAGTTGCTCGAGTGGAACCGTGATGGGAAGCGACGAGTTGGGCGTCCCAGTTGAGGGTGACATGGAGGAGGTCGTGCGAGGAGGAAATGAGAGGTTGTGGGCTGTTGTGGAGGCAGGTTCAAAAGATTTCAGAGAACAGAGGTCACTGGAGACGTGCTACTGAAGCCCTATGTTCCATTAAGAACCCAAGGGACTAATAATAATAATATAATAATCCTTAATTTCTAAGAAAGTCCATCTTTTTAATTAATTGTAACGCTGTACACCTTCTGTTCCCTGTCCAAGCTGTAGGAAGTTGTTGAATTTCGCAAATGTAAACGGTTTATGATTCAGTAAACTTTCATCTGAATGGGAATTTTCAGTAAGATGGAATAAAAGACTAGAAATAATGATTAACAGTAACATAAATAGAACAAATGAAGTACTAAACGTACAAAAATCGACACCACTGAATGCGATTCAACTAGTGACTTCTTTGCCAGCGAATTCTTTAGGACTTTTAACCGTTTACCATAAAACTATTCAGCTATTACGTTTTCACTAGCATGGACTATTAATTACTCACTCACGGTAAATTAAGAAATATTAAAATCCACAGCCACGTGTCACTTCATTCTTCTAGCTTGTCAGGATCGTTTTGTATGGTGGAATTGATGCTGCTACATTAGTTAGGTTGAAAAGTGTACACAACTTTCAAGTCATCTGCAAAAATGAAGGTTTCCCTGATTGAAAGCAAGCGCATATATCATTTATATACATTATAAAGAGAAGAGGTCCCAGGATGGAGCCTTCGATAGCTCCACTCGTAATAGTTTCACGTAGGGAAAAGTGAGAGCCTGTTTTGACAACCTGAGTACGGATCAACAGAAATGACCCCAACCAGCCATGTGATTTCCCGCTTCTACCAAAAGAATTCAGTTTCCGAAACAGCGAGGGGTGATGCACTTTGTAAAAGGCTTTGGTGAAATCGAAGCAAAGCGAGATAACCACGTTTCCATCGTCTCTACTGTTAATTACTTGTTCGAAGAATTCTAGGTGATACGTGATACGAGATTTTTTAGACAGAAACCGATGCTGCGAGGAGTTCATGAGTTTGTGATCAGAAAGGTGAGAAAGATGGTGTTTCTCACTACTTTCTCCATTATACGCGAAAGGACAGATGTTATGTTGATGGGGTGGTAATTTCCGGACTGAGTCTGGAGCCTTTCTTAAAGTATGGGGTAATACGACTAGTCTTCCATGAAACTGGGAAAGGGCCAGAGTTTAAGGACAGGCTGAATATTTTTGCTAACGATATGGGGAAGTCTGCGCTTCCATTATCAATGAAAATGCCAGGTATCCCAACTACTCCCCCAATAAAAGAGGGTTTGAGCGAGTTTATTGCGCCACGTACGTTGCTTCGGTCAAACTCAAATTCCAAGATTTTATATGCCCCAGTGTCACTGAGTGTAGCAAGGCCGCGATAACAATTAGTGAAAGAAACACTAAACGTTTCACTTAGTATAACACATATCTCTGTGGGTCTTGTAAAAATCTCGCTGCCTACTTTCAACATATTCAGCATGTCAGGTCTATTACATAGTTCCTTTCCAAGAGAAATGGCAAGAAGACGAGCTTTATTTTCATCTTTCAGAATTTTATTTGGAGTAAAGGTTTTCTAGCGTCACACACTTCCCCAAAATCAGTAGCCTAGGGTTTGACGACTTTCGACATTAACGCTGACCTTGATAGCTTAGCTGGACTCACTGAGCTGACGGCACCCGATCAAGCATCCTCGCCATTTGGCACGCTGTCGTGTTACGTTGCACTGCTCGTATTCGACTCTCTAGCCAGTTAGTTGGAACGCATCGGTATTTTGGCACAACCATCCAAATATACTATTCCATCCGACTACGCTATCGTGTTCTTCCTTGGTCTCGTATTCGTGGGTATATAACAAGTTCGAATAATTAGTGATTGGTCTTTGCGTCTGTCAAGTTCGCACCAGGACAAATCCTAAATTGGTGAGCCCGACGTGATCACATATCCCGACCAATATCGAATATTGAATTGGTGAGCCTGTTCCATTTTATATTTGTTTATTGTTTTCATTTCGATAACATTTA